AGAAAGAAAGAAAGAAAGAAAGAAAGAAAGAAAGAAAGAAAGAAAGAAAGAAAGAAAGAAAGAAAGAAAGAAAGGCAGACAAGCCAATGCCCAGAAGAGGGAAAATGCAATTGCTCTGGTTTCCTTTCTTCTTCTTTTTTTTTTTTTTAGTCAGAGTCACTCTATTGCCCAGGCTGGAGTATAGTGGCACAATCACCGCTACTGCAGCCTTGACCTGCAGGGCTCGGGCAATCCTTTCGCCTCAGCCTCCTGAGTAACTGGGACTGTAAGCAATCCTTTCACCTCAGCCTTCCAAGTAGCTGGAACGACAGGAGTGTGCCACCACACCCAGCTACTTTTTTTATTTCATGTAAAGATGAGGTCTCACCAAGTTGCCCAGGCTGGTCTTGAACCTCTGGCCTCAAGTTCTCTTGCTGCGACCTCCCAAAGTGCTGGGCTTACAGGTTTGAGCCACTGCAGGTATACTTCTTTCTTAACAGAGAAATCAAAAGGTGTACAAACTAACTTCCTGCCTTGTAGAATCCCTGATGGTCCCACAGATACATAAGCTCTTATCTCTGAAAATTTCAATGTAATTTTTTTACAGGCCAGAAGGCTCCCAGATGAATAAAGAAATTACAGAACTTAGGCCTAGAGATTTGAGTCTTAGTCATGGCTCTGACACCAGCATGTCATGTGACTTGAGCAAAACGATTTCTTTGACTTCTCCGATAGCAGCTGGTTTCCATGATCATAAAATGTGGACATGGTTCTGTCATCCCAATCCAACCCTGGCTACTTTGATTCTGTGCAGACTGGAGAGGAGAAAAAGTATAAGATGGGTTAGTGGCCTCCCTTAAGCCAAGTCACAAATCTAAAGACCCATGAGAAGCCGTAAATTGAGATCTGGATTATTTTTGCTGTATTCCACCTGTGGGAATTTCTCGTATAGGCAATCCTTTAAGAGAATGAAACCAGAATAAGGTCCTGGCCTAACACCTCTTGGCCAGACATTCAGCACATGCTTGACCCATGACTGCCAGTAGTTTTCGCGTTTCCATTCAAATCAATTTTACACATACTGACTGAGCTCTCAGAGAGTGCTTGCCACTATTCTAGGGGTGAGGACACAGCAGTGAGGACAGTGTCCTGCAAAGCTTTATTTATTTAGTCATTGTTGAGTCTTCCTCTCCCAGAACAGTGCCTGGCACACAGTAGGAGATCAATAAATACTGACTTGGTAAGTGACTAAACAGAGAAACTGAACTGCTCATCCTAGGGGCTGACTCTGCTCTTTCCAGCATAAAGGGAAGACAAATTGCTTGAGAGTCCAGGAAACAAACGGCACGTGGGACTTTCTCTCTGGGTTGGTGGGGAAGAGGTGCTTTGGGTGCTATGTTTCTCCAGTTTCTCCAAAGCTTGGTCCTTGGTTGTCCTCACTTGATTTCCCACACCAGGTCGTCCCATGTTAGTTGCCATGTCAGTTTACTCTCATTCAAAACTTTAAATGTGTTTACTGTCATGTCGTTAAAGATAGTTTTTCAGAACTGGTGAGTGATGAACTGTTGCGGTGTCCAGGAACCACTTCCCAGTGTCCTGGGAGACAAACCCCCCCAGTGAATAAGGATGAGGATACGTCCTTCCCACAGAAGTCACCCTGCATACTGGTTAGTTATTTCCAACCTGGTTTGCAAAGTAAAGAAGTTGCAGTGAGAGGTAAGTAGAACTGATTGAAACCTAAGTGTCCTGCCCTGCTTTTATGATGTCCAGAGCATTTGGACCTTTTTTATTATCTCATTTATGCTATAAGTGAGGAGTTGTAATTTTGATGTTAATTGTATGCCCAAAAAATTAGGGGAAAAATCGATCTTGGTTATCCCCTGTCCAGAATCAAAACAAATTACTGCGCCTGTTACCGTGTGAAATTTGAAGATTGCAAATATCTCTCCTAATGTTATTACTTGACTCCATTAAAAATGGATTGTGAATATTCCATGTCACATTATTCATGAGGCAGGCTCTATGCCTTTTGTCTGCTGGCGTAACAGTAGAAAGGGTAACAAGAGACACCAGAGCACACCTTTGTTTCTTTCACTAAATTTTTAATAACACCTCCAGCTAGCCAGTTGGTGAAGCTCAGCTCTTGCATAAAAGTGGAAAAGCACAGCTATCTCTGAGAAGACCAACCCTTTCAGCAGCTAATTTGAGTTTGCGTTCATCTACACCAGACATGATTAAATTACCTATCGAGTGTGCCGAGCTATCAGGATTCAGGCCACCTAAAAGGTGAATTCCATCTGATTGATTTGAGACACGCAAATGGAACAATTGAGTTTTAAAAGCCCCGCCTTAATTAAAGGGATAGCAGAGTATCACTCCCTGGCGACTTCTTGACTGCCATTGCCCTTGAAAACTGGGTGGCGATAGTGATTTGACCCAAGCCATTTTGTTGTGTGTCTGTTTGTTTAACCTGATCATTTAACAGAAAAGAAATGAGCCAGAGGAAGGCCTGAAAGGGCTTCACTACTTTTTACTGTGCATTTCTAGACATTATTTGTTTAAATCTGTGCTGCTGTTCTATTTCTGCAGTAAAATCTTTTCAGGAAGTATATAATAAATTTATTTTTAACAGCTTCTCTTCATTCACTGAGCCAGATTTTTTAAAAATTTAAGGAAACTGCATTCTAAATCTTTCTACCTTGAAAGTTTGTGTTCTTTTCTGTGTGTTCCTTTCCAATCTCTATCCACATGTGTGTATATTTTTTACCCTTGTAATCAGGGTATTTGTAATTTTTATCTGGATAGCTCTTTTATTTATTTATAATATGGACACATACTTAAATATTTCAAAATGAGAATTTGGCTGATAGTTTGCTCTTTTGTAGAGATGAGTCTCACTATGTTGCCCAGACTGATCTCAAACTCCTGGCCTCTCAAATAATCATCCCTCCTTGACCTTCCAAAGTGCTGGGATTATAGGTATAAGCCACTGCACCTGGGCTGATATTCATTTTTTAAATTAAACATTTTCAGCACACTGGTAATTACAGAGAATAATAAACATCAGTATACCCACCATTCTACCATTTCAGATTTTATTTTTTAATATCTTCTGGAATTTATTCTTCCCTAACCCCAGTTCCCTTTCCTTTCTCCTCAGAGACATTCATTATAACAAAATTGGTATATTTCATTGCCATGAGTATTTTATGCCTTTGATGTATATCTATTTCCATAAACAATATATAATACTGTTCAACATATTTTAGCTGTATGTAAATGGACCATAATTTAGGTATTCTTCTGCACTTTCCTTTATTTTTGTTTTCAAGATTGATGCTGCTTAGTTCATGTATCTTAACTGCTACATGTAGAATTCTGTTGAATGAATGCTTGCTGATTCATTTATTCTTCTGTTGAGAGAGTTTGGATCATTTACAGTTTTCCCTATTACAAACCATTCTAAAGCAAGCGACCTTTTACACCTTTGTGGAAAAACTATTTAGGATATATTTC